ACCCCCATCCCCGGATACTTATTTGTAATAATTTAGACTTTAAATTCCCGCAATTTATTGCTTTCAATATATTGTATAGTAATTAGGGTTTGTATGTGAAGATTCAAAAATCAATCGCTAGATGACCTAATACAAGATAAATGCATGAAAATCAATACACAATTCACACTTGCACCTCTAGGGTAACCTCGCTTGTTGCCTCGGAAAATACAATCATGTCCCTCGAATATGAGATACTCTAGCAAATGTCCCTTCGATAAACAAAGATCGTAGTCCCTCGATGACCCTCGATGTTGCCTTCGATAAAACGATCTCGTCCCTTACAAAATTGCTAGAGCGTCTCACAAGATGCTTTCAATGATTGCATACGATGACCCGCGCCTGTCCCGTTTAACATCCTAACACAAGGTTGTTCATAAAATACAATGGTGAAACAACACTGTTAAAAGGGTTAAAAACATAAGAAAGATCTTTGAGTAAAATAGGGTAGACAACTTTTAGTTACTTGATCAAAAGCTTGCAAAACATTCTTGCCATTTTCAAACACACTTCACAACATAACTTCAAAACAACTTCAAAACAATTTCAAAACAACTTTCAAGACATTGAAATATCTTTTCAAAAAGACACACACCTTTGTATATATTCAAACAAGAATTATTACAAAGGTTGCCTAGACAAGGTATCTTTTTCAAAACATTTTCAAAACCTCACACACCAAGCACCTCAAACAATTGAAAATCAAAGGCAAGTGATCTAAAACAAGTAACTAAGAGCCCATGGATAACCATGGATGAAAAGGGTGCTAGCACCTTCCCTTTTCATAATCTACCCCCCGAACCCAAGAAAACATCTCAAAGGTCTTTCATGTGCTTTTTGACCTTTCCTTAGGATAAAATAAAAAGTCGGTGGCGACTCTTGCTAAACCGAACAAGTGCGAACACAAACGCAAAATCCCAAGTCAGTTCTCCCACCGTATCACATTCTTCATAATTTGGTTATTAAAACCAAGACCCTCCACATTCACAATATTCTCCTCTTTAAGTTTATGATAGCTAGATGTTCTTCTTTCTCAGCCTCCAGTTGAGTAATGACAAACTTTTATGTCAATACTTTCTGACACGGTCCTTCATTCTTGAGGCAAAACTCTGAGTACCCAGAAGCCAATTCACTAACGGTGAGTTCTCCAACATATGATTCTTTACCAGAAGCGCATGATTCTTGATTAGATCCACAAATTCCAGTCAAGGAAGTCACCTACTTGGCCGAATATTCCTCATGATCACTTTTTGATTCCCCATCAGACTATGGCACAGATAAATTATTTCCTTGCTTTTTCAGATAGGTGGCACATTCATCTCTTATGTGTCCATATCCCTTATATTCATGTCACTGAACACCTTTCCCTTGGTTTGCCTTTTCTTCAAATCTTAACTTTTTTCCCAGGTCCTGGTTTTTGTTGATGTCGTATGACGTGTTATTAGCACCCAACCTGGACTTCCTTAACACCCTGTTAAACTGTCTTCCCAGAAGCACTAGATCCTCATAAATTCCTTCTAAGTTCATGTTCCCTTTATCCTCTGATTCTTCAGCACTAGAAGTAAAAGCTATGCTCTTCTTCTTTTAAGATCTTTCATTGATAGCAGACTCAAAAGTCTTAAGTGAACTTACAAGTTCATCTACTGTCATAGCGCTTAAATCTTGGGACTATTCAATAGCATATACCTTCATGTCAAATCTCTTGGGAAGAGGTCTAAGCACCTCCCTGACCAGCTTATCCTCTGATATCATCTCTCCCAGATCTTCTGAGTCATTAGCAATATCTAGAACAATCATGTGAAAGTTCTGGGTACTTTCATCCTCATTCATCTCCAAGTTCTCAAATTTGGAGGAGAGAAGCTAAAGCTTTGCCAATTTAACCTTGGGATTTCCTTCATGAACTTTCTTCAGGGTTTCCCATGAAACTTTTGCATGTTTATAATTATTGATGAGCTTGAAGATATTTTTATCAACTCCATTGAATATGACGTTCAATGCTTTGGAGTTTCCTTGTGATAACGCCTTATCATTATCATCCCAGTCTTCTTCAGGTTTCAGCACATCAGTGGCCTTCCCTCCCACATCCAACACCTTCGGTGTATCCCAACCTTTGACAACATTCCTCCAAGCCTTGTCACCCAAAGACTTTATAAAGGTTTGCATACGAGATTTCCAACTGTCATAGTTGGTACCATCCATAATTGGTATTTTAACCACCATTCTCCCATCCTTGCCCATTGCACCAGAAAGTAACTTCCTTGGATCTCACCCAAAGTCAGAGCAGGATGTTTGCTCTAATACCAATTAAAATTCTATTTATCAGATCCCGAATATCCTAAGAGATGTCGAGATACCGGATATGACTTCACACACAACAGTAAGATGTATTGACAGATAAAATACTGCTGAAAGTAAATAACACAAGATATGTTTACCTAGTTCAAAACAATCTTCCTACTCTGGGGGACTACTAAGCCAGGGACTAAATTGACTATATTATATCAATTTGTAGGCCTTTATAACAAACCTCCAGTTTACAACCTACACACTTAATCACTACTGTTTGCTTAACTTCTACCTAAGACACACCTAGGTATGAGGCCCTCCTCAAATCCCTCTTCAATTACACTCAGCAATTGGAGAAACTCTAAACACACGTAGAGAACAAAAACCAGAAGCTATACTTTCAAAAACACGCAAGACTCAATGCTTAAAAGCTTATGAGAATTGACACACAATATGTTCAATGCTTAAAAGCTTATGAACATCTAACAAATAACTTACAATCCAACTATAAGGATTCTATAAACCATGGCACAAATACATTCGTAAGTTCCACCTAATACTAGGTATACACCAGTCTATTTATAACTTTATTTTAGACTGGGTTAGGCTTCAAAATCGCAGCAGTAAGGTTGCACAAAGTCTGTAAAATCTTTTCCAAGAAAATAAGTCTTCAATCATTAGTTTCCTAAAATGTCTCTATATTTAGAAACTAATCATATCTTCGAAAACCAACACCAAATATTTTGATTAATCAATCTTGAACGCCACACAAGCTAACTAAATATTCCCTGAATATGCAATAGCTAAAAATCAGCTGATCCACAACTGTCAGCTCACTGCATGCGCAATGTCCTATCTTTTTGTTGGGACATCTTACTCGACATATTGAAATAGAATGTTGGAACATCTTGTTCAACATGTTGTTGCCACAATGGTTTTACCAAAATGTAAGCCAATCATAATTTCAGAGAAATAACAATATATAAAAAGTTGGTTAATATATTGATGAAATTGATTAATAAACGTTCGGATATTAAAAATAATTTAGTAATAAAACAAAGTTGGTTAATGAAATGTAAAAAATTGATTAATAAAGTCATGAAGTTAGTTAATAAACGTTCAAATATTAAAAATAATTTTTAGTAGTAAAACAAAGTTGGTTAATACAATGTAAAATATTGGCTAATGAAGTTATGAAGTTGATTAATAAACGCCCAAACTTTTAGTAGTTATGAAATTGGTTAATAAAATTTAAAATATTAGTTCATGAAGTTATGAAGTTAGTTAATCACATATTTGTATATTCGTACTCCTTTAATCTAAAAAAAATAAAAAACATTATTTTTTTATAAAATAATTTTTTATTATAATATTCACTGTTCACCGTATTCGTGAAAAGTGAAATGTAACGTATGTGTAAAATATTGGTGTAAAAGTATTATTTTTCTACTTAAAAATACAATATAAATCCCAAAATATGAAAGGTACTTTCAAAACTTGAAAGGACTTTTAGAGTTTGTTTGGTTCAATCGAGAGGAGGGGAAGGGAGAGATTTTTATCAAGGGGAGGAGAGATGAGGTGAAGGGAAATGGAAGAATTTTAATTACATATATGTTTGGTTCAAAATATGAAAGAGAAGAGGAAGAGAGAAATTTTATTTACTTTGGTTCATAAGGAGAAGAGAAATATTTTAAAGTTTATTTATTTTTATATTCTTGTAATTTTATCATATGACTCGGGATATTTGACGTTAATAATTCAAATATAAATTCATTGATGAAAAATATTTAATCGTAGAACATCATGAAGGAAAATATTACGATAATTAAAAAGTAACAATAAAATATAAAAAATTAAAAATTAAAAATTTAAACATCTATAATGATAATATGATAAAAATATAAAAATATAAGAAATATAAAAAGAAGATAAAACTTGTTCAACATAAAACTTTTAATATTTTAACAAGTTAATTGTATATTTAAATACATAAATAAACAAGGTTAAATATATAAATATAATTAATATTAAAATAAAACATCTTTCTTTTCCTCCAAATCCTTTCAAATTGGGGGAAGCAAAAAATAGTCCTAAGAGAGATTTGGTCCTCTCCATCTATCTCCTCTCCTCCTCTTAAAATTTGAATAAAAAACATAAAATATTAAATATTCACTCCTATTTCCTTTCCTCAATTTATCCTCAATCAAACAGACTCTTAAAAAAATTGTAAGAGTGAAAAAAAAATCTCACTATAGATTTTTGTCATACTTTCATTAAGATTGTTAGATACTATAAATAAATAAAGAATAATATTATATAAGAAGAATCATTTGAATAAGAAAGACAAAAATTTATATTTATTATTATTTTAAAGATAATTTTATATTTATTTTAAATTTAATTTTTTTAAAAATAAAAATCATATGACAGTGATAATAATAAACCGTTGAAATTTAATTTTTACATTTCTTATTAATAAACATTTTTCATAAAAAAAAAAAAAGGTGTGCTAAGTACGTTTCCCGCTTCGGTTCCATATTCAACTCAAAAGCAGCGCCAACTAAATTCGCGTCTCATCTCTTTCCTCTCCCTCTATTTAAATTCCCCACTCCTCTCAACGGGTACCCGACCCGAACCGAACCGAATCGAACCGAACCGAGAAGACTGTCGGAAAAATGTTCGGCAGAATCAGAGCTTCACCTTCCTCGCTGGACATTCTGGAAGGTTCTCCTCCGTCCAAGATTCTCAAAGACGATTCTTTCTCTATCTACGGTACTCTCATTTTCTTGTCCCATTTCTTAATCAAATATCTGAATTTTCAATAGTTGAAAAAAGTAGTAGAAAATCAAATCCGTGTCTAGTTTCTTGAAATTCAGATCTGTTAATCGATAATTTCAATTTTAATTTTGACTCAGAGGCCACTCTCATGAAGCTTAAACTCGGCGCTAAACGCGAAAAGCCCTCAATACAAACGAAGGAGAATGAGTTTACAGATGATTTTTCAGTTATTGATGAAGGTAATATGGAAGTGGATTTTACTACAGCAACAGCTATAGCAGAAGCTTCAAGCTCTATCGGTGATAATGATGATACAGCGACATTGATGGACACGGATTGTTGTTCTTGTGTAGCCACCGTGACATTGCCGGCTATTGTTACCGGTGTGAGTGATAGTGTTTCTACCGAGTATAACACGGAACAACCGAGGCAAAATAATGTTTCCATTCGAAAATTCTATTCTTTGTTGACCAAGAACAGTAGTAGCTGTGGATCCGCTTCATCTTCAGGTTCTGTTGTATCTAATGCGACACAATAAGTGGATTGTGTGACTGAATCAATGAAGATGGGGTGTTTTTATGCGTTGTGCTTTTACGTCAACTGAACTAAATTGCATTTGTTGTATTATGTTGCATTGTATCTACTTCTTTACCTTATGCTGTTAACGTGTATAATGTATTATTTGAAAATTGAAATACAATTAAAGTTCTATTAAGTATGGGGTATTGTATCTTAATCTGCAATTGTAATTTTGTGTTACATATGCTGCTTCAAACCTGATACTGCAGTACTGGTCCAAGTTTCTTTGTTGACGAAGAAGAACAGTAGCAGTAGCGGTGGTTCTGTCCTCAGGTTCTGTTGTATCTAATGGGTGAATTGTTTGAATGAATGAATGAAGATGCGGATCTTTTTATATGGAAGCATGGATGCTGGTAACTATGCATAGTGCTTTTATATCAACTAAACTAAATTCCATTATTATGGATACCGGTAATTATGCATAGTGCTGGTATGAGTGTATTATTTAAAAACTAAAATACAATCAAAAATCTATTAACCACATTTATCTTTTTCCTGCAAATTTGTTCATCAATCTTGTCTAGCAATGAGAAGGGTAAAATTTTATGTTTTATCTTTCAAATGTAATTTTTTGTTTATTGGATGCTGCATTTTCTTTAGGTAAAAGCATGCTGCATGCTCCTTTCAAACCTGATACTGTACTGCAGATCCAAGGATCAAGCAAGGGAAGCATTAGCTTTAATTAATGCTTCTAATAAAAGTTATTTACTATTAGTGAGGGAGTTAGAGTTTAATTTGAATTAGTGTTCCAAAGAGAGATTATAGACTCCCCTTACAAGTTACTATTAGAAAAGGTCACTCAATGTCCCCTTACAAGTTACATAGAGGTAAGGTACCTTGAATTGACATGATAGAAATATAAATCTACATGGACTTGAGTACTCAACTGCAAAATTTTATTTAAAAAAATCCAAGTAACTGTTTGGAAAGAGAGGTTAAAGGAGTGCTACATTGAAATTGAAAACCGAAAAGTGAAAACAAATGAATAAAGTATATGACATTAAACAGCATGTTTCGTTGTCATTGTGCATCCTTGATTTATTATTCTCTTAGCCATGGTTGTTGGACAGGAGTCCATTCGCATAATTCACCTTCCTTGAACCATAGAGCTGCAACAAATGGAAATAACTGGGTTAATCAAGAAACACAGTATTACAAGTAATGTTTGCAGTGCAAAAGCTCAACAACCATGAGTCAGATTTTATTCTATGAATCTTGACAAAATAATGTAATCAAGGAAAATTCTACCGTTCATAAAGTAAGGTGCACAAGTTTTATTAATCATTGGATGATCATTGTCATCGGATATAGGATAGACCCTTTGCACCTTATCTATTCTTTTCCCTCATCAATTATTTCCCCTGTTCTTCCTCACTTACTATTCTTTTTTCTTAAAGTTCAACAGCAGAATGTCCACTTGGTGAATATTTTAGAAAATTCAGTAGAAAACATTTTAAAGTTACACATATTAACATTTTATATGCAAATTCATAAAAAAGGGGAACAGTAAGGTTCAGAGGACTGGTTTTGTTCTCAAATATTCACAAACCATTTGTATGACAGTGCAGCTGACCCAGAAAAGAGGGGATGGTTCTGCATAGAGCAGTTGTGTTTTGGCACACAGAGGCACGAGGGGGAATGTTTTTAGTGGTGGTGAGATGTGGTTATGGAGGTTTGTTGTGGTAGCATTGGATGGTTGTGTTTTTCTGATGTTACAATTGAGTGGTGATTGGCAATGGAAAGACCTCTTGTTTTGTGGTGGAGGTGTGGGTTTTGTTCACATTTACGTTGCTTCCTTTTTGGTGACAAGTCGGCTAATGAATGGAAAAAGAAAGATAGTAAGGTGCAGTGTGTCCATCGTAGATCGTGAGACCATCAGTTAATAAAACTTGTGCACCATACATCATCCAAGATGTCTATGTACACTAAAATCTATTTATATTCAATACATAATCCAAATGTCAGTTGTTAATAAGCTAACAGTTAACACACAAGTCTGCAAACATAGGACACAAGTGAGTTAAATTTCAAAATCACACTTTTTACTGTTGGTAAACCTGTACAAGTTGAAGTGAACTTCAACAAAATTATAAACTCTGGATTTTACTAGCAAGTTTAAAACTTATGCTAAAGTAAGTCTATTTCATGAAACCAACAGGTAATACATAAATTAACGGCTAGCTTTGATATTCTCTTTTGCAATCCACATATCAGTTTTTGTTGTTGCATAAATCGGGTTAAACTAGATAATATAAGAGGCCTTACCTATTTCACGCTCGCCATTTTCAGGGCTGTCACTTCCATGAATAATATTCCTGCCAGAAGTTCATAAGATTTTGTCACTCCTGATACTCAAATCAACCATAAATACAGACCCTCAGCACCTAATCTTGATTTTTGACTAAGGTGCTCAAAGTCACAAAGTCAGATGTAAAAAGGCCTTACCTTCCTGTTTGAACAGCAAAGTCGCCTCTTATTGTGCCTGGTTCAGCTTGAAGAGGATCAGTAGCCCCTATAAGTTTACGTGCTGATGCCACTACTCCAACACCCTCCCATGCCTTCCAAACATAAAACAATAAAGCACATTCATCAGTTATATCGCAGAAAACTCGTCGAGAATGAGATATTACAAGAGAAAGTTATACCATAGACACAACGGGACCTGAAGTAATATACTCAATCAGCTTAGGGAAGAAAGACTTTTGGCTTAGTTCCTTGTAATGCTCCTGGATCAATAATCAGTCACAATAAGCCATCCATGTGTGGATAGAAAATAAAAAAATGTACATTGTCCTATATTTTTTACATTATTAGTGTCAAGTGTCTGTGTTTTGTCCCGGTGCCCGTGAGACTCATAATAGTTATAAAATACAGAGAAATTCTTGAACATAATAAGCAAGAATAGACAAAGTACTACAAACCTCAGCTAATTCTTTAGAGCATTGGAAAAGCTTCAAGCCAGTTAACTTAAACCCCTTTTTCTCAAACCTAGAAATAATTTCACCGACCTAAACCAGTTCAACAACAAAAAAAAAACAATTAAAATCTTAAACTTGTTTCCACCATTAATGTCTGAAACCACAATACTAGACTTACAACACCACGTTGCACACCATCGGGTTTGACCATAATGTAAGTCTGGTCAACTTGTTTCTGCACATTAAAAAAACAAAAACATTTAGAATTACACACTGTGATAATAAATTGATGAGCAGAAAGGGAGAAAGAGGGTATACGAGAGAAGCAATTAGGTGGGGAAGGAAGATGCCGGATTCGGTGCTGCTTCTGGTACGGAAGGTTTTAGGATAAGAAAAAGTAGTAGAAGTGAAGAGATGAGATTTAGAAGGAAATGCAGATAGGTGTTGGGTGGTGCGTAATTGAGAGCATCTGGTTTTGGAGTTGGTTGTGCGTAGGAGAGAGGATGTAACACAGATATTGCTTCCGGAAAACACGGCCATGGCTTCCATCTCTCCTTCACCTCTTTGCGTTGTGAATTTCGAAATTGGATTTGGATGTGGCAAGTAACAAAGAAAGCGTCGCCTAGTACTTTTGTAGTATACTATGCTTTAAAACACAATATTATTTGATAAACATCTTATTATGCAAGAATAATTAATAATGGCTGAATACCTTTTTTTTTTCTCCCTCTCTTCATTCTCTCTACAATAGGTCCATTTTGGTCTTCTTCCTTTAAAAATGATGAATTTAATTTTTTATTTAGTCAAACAGAGTTAAACAAGTTCTTTCCGTCAAATAATGATAAACTACGTTAGACATTGAATATGTGGTAGCTGATTGGATTGTCTTCTTCATAACCTTCTTCTTCCTTGCTGAAACTCTGTTCTTTTTATCCCAATCTAACCCTAATTCGAAAAGGATAAGAAATCCCCAAATCCAAACCTAATTTGTCTACATTTGTGCCCTAATCATGAGTTCTGGTCGCGATTCATCATCATCAGCGAAAAACAAAAGTGATTCGTAGATATATAGCAGCTCTAATCTCCCATGGAATTTTTTTTATCGCTATGGAGACACCGATGTACTTCAAAGGGCAATAACAATCAGCAATTATGGAAGGCTTTTTTGGGGTTGTCAATATTTTAAGGTATGGTTAAGTGTGAAGATTATAGGTTAAAATACTGTTGAAATTTCTTCTTATTACATTGTATTTTTATTTCTTAATCTTTATAGGGATATAGTAATGCTGGTTGTAGATTCTTTGAATGGTTCTACGAAGCAGCTAGAGATGAAAATGAGCAATTCATAATGAAACAACAAAATAAGATAAATGTGTTAACTAAAGAGACAGAGGAATCCAGAAAAGAGATTGAACTATTCAGGCTCAGCAATAGGGAATTAGAAGTTGCTTTGAAGAATACCATCAAGTGGAAAAAGTTTTGGAAATTTATGTTTTATGTTGTGTTCTTTGTTGTAGTATTCAAGATGATGTAATATTCACTATGTACCAATTGACAATCTCTGTTTTATTATGTATCAATTGACAATCTCTGTTTTCTATGTACCAATTGATAATCTCTGTTTGAGTTATGGATACAAGTTCAATGTTTGAGTTATGGATACAAGTACAATATTATTTTTTGTATGATTTTGTTGCATCAGATAAGTTATTTTACATGAACGAATGTATTATGTAGAAGTTGGTTTTGGCATTATTTAGTTGTACCAGTTCAATTATGCAGAACTTGAATCACAACAGAATTATACTTGAATAAACTTGAATATTAACAAACTTGCATAAACTTTTCAACTTGATTAAAACTTGTTCAAAACAACAGTGGTAGTCAACATAGACATGACAAGCCATGTTCTCAAAACATACATTACAAACCAGACATAACAATAGTGGTTCTCAAAATAGACATGACAAAAGTAGTTACAAAACAAACATGACTAAATGGTCTTTTTTGGATTGAGTCTCTTTGTTGAAGTGGTCCTCCTAGTAATAAGGCCAACTGTATTTTGTGATGCACTTAGCCTGGTAGTTCGACCTTTCATAACAGACGATTGAGATTGCTTCCTAACTGGTAACTTCTTTGGCCTCCCTCCTTGCTGAGATGACTGTGTAGCATTTGATTGAGTTGCCTGAGTGGGTTGAAAGTTGAGCGAGAATTTGTCCTTACGATTTCATGACAGTAATCATAAATTCTTGTGTAATCTCCTAAAAATGAACCTGTAAGTATAATAGTGCGCCTAAGAGGGGGGGGGGGGGGTGAATTAGGTACTTTAAATTTTTTCCGATTTTAGTGATGATGGATATTATTTTTCTGGTTTAGTGCATGAGTTTACAAATATGTTTCTTTCTTTTCTGGTTTATGACTAGTGATGAAAGCGGTAAATGCGAAAAAGTAAAGAACACAAAGATGTATTCTGATTCCCCTCACAGTCCGAGAGTACTCCAGTCCCCTTTCAACATGAAAGAGATTTCCTTATTGTTACATCTCTAGACAAGACACCCTAGTCCTTCTATACAAGACTCTAACCAATAAAACCACCAAGAACAATCTTCTTGGACCAAGAACAATCCTTTTGGATTTTTCACTATGTTAACAATGAGAACAATCCTCTCAAGATGACCTTACTTGTATCCAACAATCCTGGAAAAACAAGATTACAAAAGCACTTGAACTTATTTTCAACAATCCTAAAAAATAATAAAGTGTATAGCAATATTTGATTGATAGAGTTTATAGTGCAATAATCACTTTGAGTGATTTTATCAATGACTTGATCTTCTCTTCCAATAACAATAATATACAATAACTCAAGACTATAGAATGTTCAAAGTTTTCTGTTTAACAATATATGAAAATATGCAGAAAAACTTTGTGTATGAAAGTGAAGAAAAAGCTTGAGTTTTAAAATTTTAAAATTCAGAAACTATTGACTGGAAGAGGTTTTTAAAATGATTTTGAAAATTCAGTATTTATATGTTCATAGCACCTCTTTGAAACAACATAAATTTCTGCAAATGAATCATGAACAATTTCCAAGATTCAATGAAAAGTTTCCATGAAATAGTGTCATGAAAAGGTATGTTCAAAGCTGTTGATTTTCAAAAACGTTTAGCATGCAATCGATTGCACCCTTGTGTAAATCGATTGTATGAATTTTAACAGCTACAAAATTCAAATATTTTCAGTGAGCAATCGATTGCACATGTGTGTAAATCGATTTCACTTTAAAACAGTAGCAAGATTTGATAGAGAGCAATTGATTGCACAAACATGCAAATCGATTGCACTTAGAAACAATAGCTAACATTTTGAAAATGTGAAGCATGCAATCGATTGCATCAACATGCAAATTGATTGCACCCAAGTGAAAATTGAATTTTTGTTTAGAAAACTTGAGAAAAAGTTTGGACAAGATAAGAACACTTCTTTTGATCATTGAGCATCTAAGACTTAAGTTCATAGCAAGAATTATTATTATACCTTATGAAAATTTCCAAGAGCTTGAACCAAATACTTTTATCCATTGATGCTTTTAGCTTGATCAACATCTTTGTCTTCTTGCCAATATAGTTTGTCTTCATCAAAACAAAATGCATTGAGAATCATTTGAGAAGCTTGGTATTACATTCTCCCCCTTTTTGATGATGACAACTGTGATACAGTGGGAGAACTAACTTAGAGGTTTTGTGTTTTATCGCAAATGTTGCGGTTAGCAAGAGTCGCCACCGACTTTTATTTTATCCAAAAAGGAAAGGCTGAAAAGAACAGGAAAGACCTTTGAGATTGTTTCTTGAGTTCGGGGGGTAGATTATGAAAAGGGAAGGTGTTAGTGCCCTTTTCATCCATAGTTATCTATGGGCTCTTAGTTGCTTGCTAGATCACTTGATTTTGTTTGAAAATGTGATTTGTGCGGTTTTTGAAAGTATTTTGAAAATGCGCCATCGTTTAGACAAACTTTGTAATAGTTCTCGTTCGTAAGAATGTATACAAAGTGTTGATCTTTTGAAAATGTTTCATGTTTGGAAAATGTTTTGAAAGTGTTTTTGAAAGTTTCGGTGTTTGTTTTGAAAATAAGCAAGAGTGTTTGATTTGAAATTAAGCAAGCAACTAGGAACAATCTACCTACTCAAAATTCTTAGTTCATTTCTTCCTTTCCTTTGATATTGCTATCTTACCATTGATTTGGTAAGAAGCCCTATCTTTGGATGTAAAGGGAATGGTGTGGGTCATTGTATAGCCATGATAGCAATGTTGTGAGATATCTTAGCATTTTTCTTTGAGGGACTAAGATCATTTTTGAAAGGCAACATTGATAGCGTCATCGAGGGACTATGATCTTGTATTTGATTGCTTTTTGCTAAAATATCTCACATGTATAACATGACCATTTTGGTAAGACAACAAAGTGGAATTACCCTAAGGGTGCAAGTGTGCAAGTGTGTTGATTTACATGCTTGTTTTTCTTGAATTAGGATTTGCTAATTTGTTGATTTTATCTTTCCATACAAACCCTAATTTACTAGCATTTATATAAAACGATAAATTGCGGAAAATAAAAATACTAAGCTATTACATTATTAGGGGAGAGGGTATACAAATTTACAAATGGAGATTTTGTAAGAAAAATAAATCTAATTAACTATTACAACCATATTGAATAAATGTATAAAAATTGAATAAATAATGTAAAAACGCAAAATGGAAAAAGAAATGATTTTTGATTTGATTTTTTTTTTATGAAAGGGTTTTAACCTAAACCTAATTAAGAAAATTATTAATGAAAAATAAACAAAATTTAAACCTAAATTAATTAAGAAGGAAATTAAGTTAAAAATGTTTTTAGGGTTTTTTTTTATGAAAAAAGGTTTTAAATTAAGGAAAATGATATGGGAATTAATTAATTAAAATAAACCTAAGTTCTAAATTAATTTTAAGTAAGAAAATAAAATAATATAATAATTAAACCTAAATCTAAGAATTATTATAAAAAAAATAAATTCATTTGTTGAGAAAATGTTTTTGGTCTTTTTGTTTTATGAAGAAAAATAAAATATATAAGTGTAAATAAAATAAATTTTTTATATTTTTATATTTTTTAATAATAAAAATAATAATGATAAAAATAATAATGATAAAAAATAATATGAAAAAATGAAAATGAAATGAAGAAAAAGAAAAAAGAAATAATAAAATAAGGGGTCAAGGGTGTATGAGCAAACAATGATTAGGAGTCAGAAAAAAAATAAAAAGCTCAAGGGGAAAAGGCCCAAACACTGTTTCAAACAAAAAAAGTGGAAAAATATATTAAAAAAATAGGCAAAAAGGCACCACTGGGGCTCGAACCCAGGTCCCAAGGGTGACAGGCGCGCGCTTTAACCACTGGGGTGGTGGTACATCCGTTAACTTAAACAAAACAATAAATATATAACATAAATCTCACCCTGAATGTACTTCATCTTCAACCTCCAGCCAAAGGACCTGTAACTTATTCA